ATTTATATACAGTACAACATTTTAACGAAAATACCATTTGGTCGTATATTTTTCAATCCTCCATCCACCCTTTCACCCATGCGTGGTGGAAAACCTAACGTTGAAAATTAAAAAAAAGTGAGGAAGTATTCCTTGTGACAACATGATTGATGGATTTTTTATACTGGATTCAAGAACAAAGGATGTCAAAATCAGTAGATGAATAACGAAGCTACTAATCAAAATGTGTTCTTGTGAGAAATTATGGAAATAGCAAATTTTGAATTTTGACCGTTCAATACCCGATAGATAAAGCCCAAATCTATGACTAAAGCTTTTTTGAACATTATCTACTATTACTGGAGTGACTGAACGGATTTTTTGACAACCATGTACAGGTCCGTTAAAATAAATATTGTTTTCCATATAACTTAAAGAAAATAGTCTAACGGGGTTGAATCAGGTTATTTTGTTGGCTATTTGATGAGTCCTCATCTACCAATCCACCGATTTCAATTTGTATTTGGCATAAGTAATGAACAAGATACAAATATTTTGTAATTGCTATGACAACTTCTATTCAAATACAATTTGATGAATATCATTGTTATTCATCAACTGACTTTGACAAACTATATTTGTTCTGTTAACAAGTTTAGCGATCCAATAACTTTTCTGATGAATGGTTGGTTGGGTAACAGGATCAATTTTTTCTTGAAAAACCAATTGATTTCTTTCCGATGTTTCGAATTTCTTCGGCACGGCTCTGTAACAATGAATATTCATAAACATACCTCCTACAAAACTTATACGATTATTATCGTTTCAATATTACAAGAAATAATGAGTTATTGATTAAATTACTCACCAAAAATTAGTTTCTTCCTGTTGATAATAATACTATTCTAAAAACCATCAGACAGAGATGGTAGATTTTTTCAGAAAAATTATTGGATCACTAAACTAGTTAACTCAATAGTAGATACATATTAAAGAAAAATGAAAAACATTGCAACAACCAAATGTCCGAGACAACACCAACACAAATTGTGTGATCAGAATTTGTGATTCTGATAAGGCGGTGTTTGTTTTTTAATTAATGACAAAGAAAAATAATGAAAGAAGGGTTAATTATTCAGGTATTTTACTTATCAAATAGAAATATGCAGTATTAAGGCCATCGACATCTTGTTAACACTATCGCATTTGAGGATATGTATCAGTTCGCTCAAATCTAGAATAGCTGGATGATCAAAATAAAAAATGTGTCCACATTATTATTCATGTTCAACGAGGGCTATGGGTTTTTAATATTTGGTTTCTTAGAGTCTCTCATGTGTTCTGAAATTCAAAGATACCGCCCGGTTTGACCAACATATCATTTGTGACAGTTTCCACAGTTCAATTTTTACACCATATTGAGTTGTATTCCTTGTGGTGTTTTTGTTTTTTGTTTTGAGAAAGAATGCTTTCTAACTGTATTTTCATTTAAAAAGGCCACTTCAATTTGTTCGGTACAGAGTAGTATTCCAAGTTTATCAGATAAATTTTCTACAAATGGAATTTTGTGATATTTGGGCTTCATTCACCCTTGTATTTTGGGGAAAGGAACTTTTTTCTTTAATTATTTTTTCAATAAGTGCTCTGGGAAAATTATTTTTCACTAAGTAATTCTCAATTCATTGGTGGATATTTTTGTTATGGAATTCAGAATTAAATATGGCAATTGCTCTTGATTTCAAATTATATTTATTATTGAAAATCTATTGATTGGGCTATCGCAACAGGTACTTTGCCTCACCAATTTTAAAACTTGGGGTACTACTTAGGGGCAAATGGATGATGAATTGAAAGTAACATGCTCCAATGGCAAGAACTGAATTTCTTGAATCTATGAGCTGTATAATGGAAAATGTGAAGATGTTCAGTACCATAAATAATGCAGTGAGCTATTCCAAGATTTTCATTTCCAAGAATGAGTTTTTTTATTGATTCAATATGTCTCTTCGTCTGAGTCAAGAGCGCAGGATGTCATTTGGGTTCTATTATAATTATCATTCACATTTTCTTCTAGGACAACGCGCACTACAAATTCGAATATGGCGTTCACGACCCCCACACCCACGACCACAAATCCCAACACGAGCACAGAGACGGTAAACACGTCACAGGGGGATATACCCTGAAGGAAGCCGATGGAACCCACAGGATTGTCAAATACACTTCGGATCCCCACAAAGGATTCGAAGCTTTGGTAGAACGAGCTGGCCATGCTCAACACCCTGCCCATTATGGTAAACATGGAAAGCATGGTCACGGAGGACAAGGAGGCACCAGTTACGTTGGAGTTACTCACTGGACCAACCAAGGTAGTGATGGACACGGCCATGGACATTAGGATTTATGTATTTATTTATCTGTTAATAAAAAATAAAGGGAAATGAAATGAAGTGCGATTTGTTCTTTTTTTCATTTATTACTTTGGAAATATCGAGTGTTGCCTCTTTAAGCTTGGACAATAGCTTCCATTCTCCGTGGCATTCCTCGAGTTAGCGTTCAAATATACTCCCCTAGAGGAGTGTTACTCTATTCCTCTATGAACGCAACATGAAGTTCATTTCTATTCATAGGTGATCGGTCTTATGCGACTTCTCTCACCTCTATTAACATAGATCAGATATACTCAATTGGATTTGCATCTTGAGAACATACCTGATTGCTGCATATTGCAAGTACGTACACAAAATTAAATGCTTTATCCATTAATCAATTTATTCGAAATGAATGAAGAAACAATCTATAAGGAATGAACCAAGCTAGCATTAAAAATGGTTTTGAGCGTTAACCAAAAGCTCCTAGATCATAGGAATCTACTTTTGTTTTCCCTCGTACAATGACACCAAATTGGACCTCATTAGAGCATCTATATAATGTGAATTAATCTGATAAAATTTTCCTCCAGCTATTGAAAAAAGGAATCAAAATTGGTCTCGAAATAGAAAAATTATGGAAGATCAGAATTTGTTGGCACCCGAGGGCAAAACCGGAGCCCAATATCAATGCACAGGACTGTTTCTACTGCCATAGATCCAATCAGTAGTACTAGGCTCTACCACGAATGCATTGCTGGATTCAGTTGTCTTCAAAGAACAAACCTGAGTCAGAGAAGTTTTATACCACTTGTATTTGTAACTAACGTTACTGCAGTTTCGTCCTATGACGGCATTTTTAAAGTATTTCTTTGTATTCGTTTAAAAATGTCTTTGTAGAACGAAACTGCAGTAACGTTAGTTACAAATAAAAGTGGTAAAAACAGAGAAAGTTTCATTTCTCTTGTCTTCATTATCATTTCCTACCACGTAATAACAGCTACATCCAACAATTTGTTTGATACATTTTTTGTTACATACATACAATTTGAAAAGATACTAAGAAACAGATAAATACTTATTGGACTAGTCAACACTAAATCTAGATGTTAAAGATGTTAATTAATTTAAAAAGAACTTAAAAAAATAAATTAAAAAAAGATTTCAGTTACGCCCTGAAAAGATAAAAATAAGATTAAAATTACATTAAACCTTTTCATTTTCCGATTACTTTACAAAATTTAATTATCAACAACTTTTTTTTTATAAAGATCAATCAGATCAAGTTACTTAAGTTACTAGTTGATTTACACAGGTGAATCTCGCGACATGCTTTTATATCATATTAATTGTGTAATGACGTACTAAGTTGATAGAAAAACATTTAAAGGAAAAGATTACTCAAATTTACATTGTGCAGTACTGCAGGCTGAATCTTATTATTTACAATTAAATTTTGTAAAGTAATCGGAAAATGAATTGGTTTGATGTAATTTAAACCTTATTTTTATCTTTTTAGGGCGTCAGCGAAAGCATTTTTTTAAGTTTTTCAATATTAATTCATTTTATATTTTTTAGTTTTCGCTAGATATATTCCTTAGTCTAATAATTTCAGTTAGTGCGTCATTGTTACATAGGCGGGTGCCTGAGTGGGTGATTCACTACGCACCTCACTTCGCATTCTTTCAAGTCAGTGGCGTTTCATGTCAGTGTTTTCATTGGCAAATTTTTCTTGCCGTTTCAACTTCTTTTTCTCCAACCTTATTTTCATTTGTGTTGTCGTTTATTTATTTCCCACAGTGTTTCCACAGCTTCGTTTAGAAGGGTAAGAGCCGATATACAACAGGGTTCGACCAGGTGCCAAGAGGCGGTACGTTCACGACATCATTTTATACCCTGATGGCAGTCAGTCGTCGGTACGGCCTCAGCTCAACTTGGGTATTAATTTGGTAATATATGCGCCACATGTTTCAGCTTAAAGTTTACTCGTGCCTGACGAAACACCGTTCCGGATTTGATTTTGGAGTTTTCCGTCTCCTAGAGAGGTTGCAAACCAATGCTATTGACGCCCATCTCACCAAATTACAGAAATCATGATATGCCTCCTATGTCTGTTACTACTGTTGACCGTTGAGGAGTTCCTTGGTTTGGAGCCAACCATGGATGTGGCACCAATTTCATAGTGGACCCATCAACTGTCTATCATATCCGAACTGGTATGCAAAATCCCTACTGCCGATCATTGAGGAGTTCACTGGTTTGGAGCCAAAACTGAAGGTGGCAGCAATTTTATGGTAGACCCACTAATTGTCATCCATACCCCAATGGATGTGCAAAATTTCAGGTGCCTACTGTTAACCGTTGAGGAGTTCTCTCGTCTGGAGCCAATCCTGACAGCAGCATTACGATTTAGTACGAGATCTGGGCCTCCCAAAGGACTCAGCAGAAGTTTCAGGGTCTAGACTTGAAGAAAGACATATGTTAGCCTCCGGTATTTCATTTTCTTGGTACCGATTTAGAGAAAAGGAATTTGTCCCCTTTTTTACACAAGAGAGTGCCCTAGTTTCCAGCGACAATGTACCCGGCGTCATGGAAATGTTCAACATAACGTATGAATCAGAGAAATNCATGTCCATGTTTACCGTAATGGGCAGGATGTTGGGCATGTCCTACTCGTTCTACCACAGCCTCGAATCCTTTGTGAGGATCAGAAGTGTACTTGACAATCCTGTGTGTCCCATCGGCTTCCTTCAGGGTATATCCTCCAGTTGCGTGTTTTCCATGTCTGTGCTCGTGTTGGGATTTGTGGTCATGGGTGTGGGGGTCGTGGACGCCATATTCGAACTTGTAATGTGCGTTGTCCTGAAATGTTAATCTTGAGGTAGTTTTTCATCAATAAAATATATATTTTGAAATAAAATCTGTTCACGAAATAGAATTGTTATTACTTCACGATAGTTGAAACATATCGTATCTATTATATATAATATTCAGTAGTAGATTTCTCTTTCATTTTGAAAACTTATTACATTGTATAGTTCTTGATTTTGTCAAATTTTTGCCTCAACAACTTACGTGTCCACCATGATGGCCTGCAACTGCAACTCCAATAACCACGGCTAATATAATGACCTGTGAAAAAACAGAAATATCAGTCATTGGACTATAAAATCAACAAATTTTTAATATACATGCTTTTGGAATGGAAATAATGTCAAAAAATATTGTCGGAAAAAATATCAAAATATTTCAAAATTTCATTGATAAATTTCTATTTATTAACGAAAATTTTGTTATTTCGCAAAGCCATGAGAACAACCAGCATAGTTCCATTTCAAAGAATTACATTTATCTTGGACAATTTTTAGATCGAATGATATTCTTAAACACTATTTCTTGAAGTATTCTAAACTACATCGATTGAAAAATCAATTTCATTAATTTCATGGTTGTCAAATTCATCGCTATGTGGAAGAAGCGTTTCATCGCTGTGAAACCACAGAATTAACAAAAGTTTAGCAAATTCACTGTAAAATTCTGTTACACTCACTGATTTCATTTTTGTTGTTTGGTTCGAAGAATGTGAAGCTGACACAATGACTAACTTGCCTTCTCACTTATATACTCGAAAGTTTTGGTAAAAACTTGTAACGAAATTATATCACATATTTCAGAGATTGCATATCAATGTTTTGGTCCAGTGAGAACTTATTGCATAACCAGATAATATGATTTCGACTACCCTAAGAAAACCCACCGAAAAACATTCTTATTCAGTGGAAAAATCCAGTATCAATAGAGATTGAATATGAAACGTACACAACCGCCAGGAAAAGAAGTCACTGCCCAAATACTGATACACATCTATTATGTTTGTATGGAAGACCTAAAAATGATTGCAGAATCATCAACGTTCTAGAGAAGAAAGTCAACTTTTTTTCAATAGGAATGGGGACTTCTCTATCCAACAATACGTTTTCAGCCGAATCAATCAGGAAATTATAATTGCCTATCCTGCAGTCATTTATAATTTCGCACAAATTGCTAAGTTATGAAATGATCAAAGATGTCCTAACTACTATATCCAATGTTAGGCGTCATTTAAAAAAGATGAATTTTTGTTCAAATTCATGATTGGGATTTTTCATAAATCGCTCGCGTCAAAATGGACTTTCAAATCATACGAATTTTGAATATTACTGGATTTCACTGATATGAATCCTTTTAATAGAGGAATTTCACCAGAAAAAGAATCCATTATTAGGTCAAGGTTTTTATAAAAAAAATTTCATTTTTGAACTTGTATTTTTCCACATTGTTAATTGTGTAAAAATAAGGCTGAAAATCTGCGTAATTTCGGAGGAAATAAGGAATGATTCGTAATATACACGTAAAAATAAGAAAGTACTATCAATTTTTTTTAAAATATCATTCATTTTCTACATTGTTAATTGTGTAAAAATAAGGCTGAACATTTGCGTAATTTCGGAGGAAATAAGGAATGATTCGTAATATACACGTAAAAATAAGTGAGTACTATCAATTTTTTTAAAAATATCTAAGGGTTCTGCCAATCCTAAATCCAACCATAATAAAATACAGTTTCGTACTTTTTGTGTTTTATAAAAACAAATTTTCAACAAACACTTTTTTTTCGATATGAATAGGTATAAGAAAATGATTTGCACCTGTATAAATATATGATTTTTTAACAATTATAAGAACCACCTAATGTTTGTCTATTGTCTTCATCGAAATAAATGAACTGATATGTGTCCCAATTCATATCAATTTCGAATGTTACGCAGTAACTTCTCACTGGACCAAAACATTTAAAAGCGGCCATTGCAACCACGCTGTAATACTGTTTCGTTACGAGTTTTTAGATAAATTATCGAGCATATAAGAACGTAGTCAAATTGATCTTTCTATCAGTGTTGAATTGTCCAAACAAATTCCATCAAAAATGAAATCTGTGAGTTGTTCTAGATGATATAAAAATACATTTTTTGTTTCCTTCTTCTATTTTGAGAAGTTTATTGTTTTCATCAATATATAATTAACTTTCCATGCTGGAATTTTCATCGCTTTCACTCTTGTTTTGCAGATTTTTGTACTTGCTGTTGTTATTGGAGTTGCAGTTGCAGGACATCATGGTGGAGGAGGTGGACATGTAAGCTGAAAATGATTTGTGAAATGTTAAACCCGATAATAGTTTTTTCATAATCATATTTCTGATTTTCTGTTGATTTTCTATTAGTTTTTTTTTATCATATCGTAACGAGAGGTGGTTTAAGTATACCATCCTCTCATTTTAGAGCTTGGAAGCGCTGACTTAAATTCAAATCTTCATCAGATTTTCCAAGAATTATCTGTTCTTTCAAACATTTCAGTCTTTAAGAATAGTTTCCAGTGAGTCCTGAGTTAATCAACTTAACTTTCTACAGGACAATGCTCATTACAAATTCGAATATGGCGTCCACGACCCTCACACCCATGACCATAAATCTCAGCACGAGCACAGACATGGAAAACACGCAACCGGAGGATATACCCTGAAGGAAGCCGATGGGACACACAGGATTGTCAAGTACACGTCCGATCCTCACAAAGGATTCGAGGCTGTGGTAGAACGAGTAGGACATGCCCAACATCCTGCCCATTATGGTAAACATGGACATGGACACGGAGGACAGGGAGGCACCAGCTATGTTGGAGTTACGCACTGGAGTAACCAAGGAAGCGATGGACACGGTCACGGACATTAGTATTTTTGTATTTATTTGATATTAAAAAATAAAAAGAATTGAACCAAATGATATTTTACCACTATAGTACCTAACTACAAATTTATGAAATTGGTCAATTTGGTACTGAAAGATAGTGAAAAATTACTGGCAAGTGATCAGTACAGTATTATTAAAAATAGAACAAAGAAGACTTGAAGTGTCTGTGTCGTATCTTTGAATAGTTTATGAGTAGGTAGGTAGGTCTAAAGTGAGTGGGTCTATTCGACTCTCCACTGCAACCCACAAGAGATTATTGTGGTTCACACCTATTCACACCCGGCCAAATAAACCCAGCTTCTTAACGAAGCCGATTAGTTTGTATGGTGAGTGGTCATTCAGGTCAGATGGTGAGAGTACGGATCTGTCGAACTCTATGAACCTGATTCAGTCCCCAGCGGGGCAGGCACAAAGTATATGCTCTGCAGTTTCATCATTTTCCAGAGAGAGGCGACACACACACTGTCTTCCGACGGTCCAAGTCTCTGCATATGATGATTCAAATAACAGTAACCTGTGAGAAGGCCTGTTAGACCTCGTAGCTCATCCCTACTGTAGTCCAACAAGAGTTTCGGTATCAAGCTTGGAGTGAGCCAATCCTGGAAGATACTGCCAGAAGTCCATAAATCTTCTTGCCATCCAGGTGTTCAGTGTTTGTTTGGAAAAGCCCAAAGCAATGCCAGGTTCTGGTCAGATGGAGCCACTTGCAGCACCCTCCTTTGCTAGAAAGTCAGCAGCTTCCTTGCCTTCCAGGCCAGTATGGCCAGGAATCCAGACCAGAGACAATCTGTTAAGTCTTCCTATCGAGGAGAGTCGTTTTTGGCAGTTTGCTACAAATTTAGACGTTGCTTGGTAGTAGCCTTGGTAGTAGCCGCTTGACTGTCCGAGAATATTTTTATTGACTTGTGAGTGAGGTTGGATTTATCCAATCTCTCCGCATACAATTCAATGGCGTGAATTTCTGCGTAAAATACAGTCGCATAAGTTCCTAGGCAGGTAGATAACTCTGTCCTGGTCTGTGACTAAAAACACCTGCACCGGAACCGAAAGGTGTTTTTGATCCATCTGTGAACCAACAGCTATCTACTCTTCCGGAGGATCCAGTCCTCTCTACTCGGGAATAGTACTTCGGTCACCAAGCAATTGCACCATAAGTGATCATTGGTTTGACATTCATCACATAAATCCAATAGATTTGTTCGGGACCTAATCCCCAAGTTTCACCACAAATCCTTCGACATGTCCTTAGAGACAGTCTGGCTTTGTGTAAAACTTTTTCCAAGTGAGCATTCCAGGTGAGTCTTTTATCAAGGACAATGCCAAGATATTTCACCTCCGTTTCAAATGGAATGACCACACCATTTAGGAAAAGTGACGTTAGATCGTCCAATTTTCTCCTCTTGGTGAAGGGGATTAACACAGTTTTCCTGGGGTTGACAGACATCTGTTTCATCAAGCACCAACTGTGAACAACGTCCAACACGCTTTGGAGGATATCACAAGCTACCCTTCCCGACATGGACCTTGCCAGGATGACAAGGTTATCTGCATAAGCTTGCAGATTGACTTTTCTTCTGTCGAGGGCATCAAGCAGACTATCCACCAGAAGCGACCACAGAAGGAGAGATAGTACCCCACCTTGAGGGCAGCCCTGGTGACGCTGAACCTGATAGTCTCGCCTTGAAAAGTCCTAGTTGCAGTTCTGTTTACTAGCATGGCATTGATTTAGCCAGTTGAGGTCGATCCTATACCCTTGCTAGCCAGAGACAATCCTATAGATTTAGATAGTGCATTATCAAATGCTCCTTCAATATCAAGAAATACAGCAACCGCAATCTCCTTGTTGTCAAGGGATTGGGAAGTTTTCTCAACGAGATTGTTTAATGCTGAATCTGTCAATTTGCCGGTTTGATAAGCATACTGGTGATTATTCAGAGGGGATGCATATAATGATACCCTCCTGATATGTCCGTCCAGTATCCTCTCAAGTCCTTTCAGCTGGAAGGATGTAAGGCTGATTGGTCGTACCGATTTGGGGTGTGTATGGGTCTCTCCGGCCCACTTTAGGTATATATACCATCCTTGCCGCCAACCAACTAGGTGGTATATAATTCCTCGCCAGACTAGATGTGTACAATTTTTTGAGAATAGGTAAAATTATTTCCAGTCCGTTTTGAAGAAGAGCTGGAAATATACCATCCTGTCCGGGAGATTCGAAGGGCTGAAAAGACTTGATAGCCCATTCTTTGCGACGTCTCAATCGTTCTTTTTTGGGCGTTTAGCGCCCTCGAATATGGGAAGTCTGTTGTTACCAAGAGTTAGATTTCCAGGAAAGTGGTTTTCTATCAAAAGCTCTAACGTTTCTTTATTAGAGGTCGTAAATGTTCCATCGAGTCGTTTGAGCTACCCAATTTCAGCAGTCGGCTCTCTAGAGAGAATCGTGTGAATTCTTGTGCTACGAGGTAAATCAAAGATACATTGGTCGTACCGATTTGGGGTGTGTATGGGTCTCTCCGGCCCACTTTAGGTATATATACCACCCTTGCCGCCAACCAACTGGGTGGTATATAATTCCTCGCCAGACTAGCTGTGTACAATTTTTTGAGAATAGGTAAAATTATTTCCAGTCCGTTTTGAAGAAGAGCTGGAAATATACCATCCTGTCCTGGAGATTTGAAGGGCTGAAAAGACTTGATAGCCCATTCTTTGCGACGTCTCAATCGTTCTTTTTTGGGCGTTTAGCGCCCTCAAAGATGGGAAGTCTGTTGTTATCAAGAGTTAGATTTCCAGGAAAGTGGTTTTCTATCAAAAGCTCTAACGTTTCTTTATTAGAGGTCGTAAATGTTCCATCAGCAGTCGGCTCTCTAGAGAGAATCGTGTGAATTCTTGTGCTACGAGGTAAATCAAAGATACTCTCACAGAACTTTCTCCAAGACTCCCGTTTTGCCTTTCTAATTTCCTTGTTGTATGTCGTTAGAGTAGTCTTATAAAGCTCCCAGCTACCTAACTCTTTAGCTCGATTGAATGAATTATAAAGATTTAAAAGCCATAAAAAACAGATTTAGGAGGTATTTTAGTAAAAAATTGTCAAAAAATTAGATAAATAATAGGGTTACAGCATTTGTTCAAAATTTTATTTGTTTATTACCAAAAGGAGAACAAAAAAGACTTGAAGTGTCTTTGTCCTATCTTCATTAGTTCAGTTATGTTAATAACAATGATTAAAAACCATGAGGAATTGCCAAACGCAAAAATAGAAAAATAAAAAAAAAAATGTAAAAATAGGGAATTTTTCTTACACAAAAAGTGATTATTTTTATATCAACACGCTTTTATTAGCTTCACCAGTATTAACACGCTTTCATTACCTTCACCTGTATGTATGTATACATGTTTGTTTGTTTGTCAGTTTTTTTGTAATTCCAGAATTATCAACATTATTGCTTGATCAATTCGCGGGCAGATGGGGCTTTACGTAACCCCCTTAATATATCGACATTATTGCTTGATCTATTCGCGAGCAGATGGCGCTGTACGTAAGCTCCATAATATAATTCGAACTCACTTTTCATTTGAAAAAAGTATTTTTTTCAGCACGCGCGCCTGCTGCCTTGGGCTTGGTAGCTGATTTTTAGGCTCCCTCTTCGGAATTGGAAAATATCAATGGTCATTTTTCTAAACAATATACTGCTGATTGATGCCAAAGTTTAGATAAAATAAATATAGTTTAAAAAGACTAAAAAACACGCTTTTATAGCATACGAAACTGAAAAATGAAAAAGACCTTCGAAGTAAAAAGATGAAGATTTTTTTTCAATAAGTCTAAAACGATAACGAACGAAAAATACTATTATTATTGTGAAAAAAGCGTGAGCCCTCTGTACCATATTTTTTGTATATCAAGCGCCTGTCGCTTTTTTCACAATAATACTAGTATTTTTCGTTCCTTATTGTTTTAAGCTTATTTAAAAAACATATTTTTAACTTTTTAGTTCGATGTTCTTTAAAATCGTGTTCTCTAGTTTTTTGAACTATATTTATTGTGTCTATAAGTTTTACATGGTCTGAAATCACTATTCACGAAAGATAAAAAAATCATAAGGTGTGCCATTGAAAAAATATTACTTGCATCGTTAATCTGATATGCATGTTTCTGTATAGTAACCAAAGTCCAATCGTCCCAATGGAAGGGCCCAGAAGAGCCAAGACAAAAAAAGCACGCCAAGTTTGATCAAATGTCAAGGTTAAGTCATCAACGATTCAATTTATTTTCTCCATTCTAGAATATTTACACATTTTTATTGTCATTTCGCAGATTTTTGTACTTGCTGTAGTTATTGGAATTGCAGTTGCAGGTCATCATGGTGGAGGTGGACATGTGAGTTGAAAACTGTTATGTGAAACGATTGGGAATTTTGTTATATTTCATACGTGGTTAGAATATTCAAGAATTCGATCAATAGTAGTCTTAGTTCCTGCTTTATATATAGTTTGTTTTCGAATGTTGTTAATCTTTCAAAGTTTATACAAATGTTACATCTGTTATTTGTTCGAAAATTCGTAAAACCAGAAAAATAATTTTTGAAACTTGCTGATGAAATTAATTAACTTCCTACCGTTGACAAAAGAACTTTTTCGCGGAAATAATTGATCCCTGCATCAACTACAAGATTATCTACTCAAAATGCTAGTACCTATTGTTCATGGTTTTAAATAACTGTTTATTCATTAACTCGACTTTCTACAGGACAACGCTCATTACAAATTCGAATATGGCGTCCACGACCCCCACACCCATGACCACAAATCCCAACACGAGCACAGACATGGGAAACACGCAACTGGAGGATATACCCTGAAGGAAGCCGATGGAACCCACAGGATTGTCAAGTACACTTCTGATCCTCACAAAGGATTCGAGGCTGTGGTAGAACGAGTAGGACATGCCCAACATCCTGCCCATTACGGTAAACATGGACATGGTCACGGAGGACAAGGAGGCACCAGCTACGTTGGAGTTACGCACTGGAGTAACCAAGGAAGCGATGGACATGGGCATGGACATTAATTAAGACGTACCTGATATAGAAATTTTGTGATATAAGAAATAAAATTATCGAAAACTATCTGATTTCTCATTTTTTCTAAAAAACTCCAGAGGGACTTATTCATTGTCCAAACTGTTGGACAGTTTATAGTTCACTTGATTCCAGTTTTTGATCCATAATATCTTCAAATCTTGAAATCTCGCTAAGATTCAAAGTTGAGAAGAGTACTGACCATTTTCCTTTAAAAAATGTGAATGCTGTGTCTGCAATTCTGCAAGTTACATTATAAATATTGGGAAAAACTGCTTTAGTAAAAATTAGTAGATCGAACAATAAAGTGTCGTTATTGTACGCCCCAAAAATACCCGAGATTTGCTTCACAACGCTTGAGTATTTCGAAAGATTAACATTAACGCCCTCAAACATCCAGAAACTGTCTCAGAAGAAACCGACCAAGTCCATCAGAAAATTGTAACATTTTCAAGTCGTAAAAGTTGGTTGCGTGGAGTATTTCATCGTAGCAATAGCCAACATTCAATTCTAGTAAATATAATTAACCTGAATTGGTTTCACACTATCAGATACACAAATGTATGGGGGTTTTAACATTATTAGCAGAACAAAGAGAAACGATGCAAACAATTTCAAGGGATTGAAAAATGACGTTTTCTCTAATCATATAAAGGTCCCAATAACTACGATACTCAAACAAAAGTTATCTGTAGGTGCCAAGAGCATTCAATGTTTTTTGTCCCGCTTTAAAAGTGCAATATTTCCAATAACGCTTGGAATGCTTTGCCATACCTAAAACCTTTACCATCTTGAACGATCATCAATATGGCTTTCAGAAACAAAGATCAACAGGTGATCTTCTATCATATGCCACCCATATTTGGAATAACGCATTTCTAACACCATTGACCGTGTGTGGCATGAGGGTTTGCTGGCCAAACTTCGATGCTATGGCTTGTTGAATCATTTTTGTGTATGGCTCCTCAGCTTCCTGAAAGAACGTTTCTTGCAAGTCGATGAAAATCTGTCGAATACTTTCACCATCAACGCTGGTGTTTCCCAGGAATCCATCTTGTTTCCAACCCTTTTCATATATATCAAAGACTTATTGGAAAACACGAAGAATCCAAAATATTGCTTTGCTGACGATAGCACACTTGTCTCGTCATACCATTTGGATTCCAAGGCATCGGCTGCGGGTGCACATCTTCACCGGTAGCATATCTCAATGAGGATCTAGAAGTGATTTCGAACTGGGGTGAAACTAACCAGGTTCAATTCACTGCTACAAATAATATCTCCGAACTGGATATTATAACGTTAGGACAGACAATTCCGCTTCCTGCTTCGATAGATTTGTTGGTGGTTAAAATGGACACCAATATGTCTTGGCACAATTATGTAGCTGGAATTGCAAAGGTTGCCGCTCAAAAGCTTGGAACACTGTTTCGAATCAGAAAACTGTACACACCTCAGCAACTTCTGATGCTCTATAAAGTTCAGATCAGACCTTGGGAGTATCGTTCTCATGTATGGAGCTCTGCCCCTAAGCATACCCTGAAGCTGCTGAATTCCATCCAGAAAAGACCCATCTGCCTGATCGAAGACGCGAACTCACTTGTAACCTTGATACTCTGGAACATCGAAGAAAGGTTGGGGATTTGTCTCTCTTCTAAGATAATTTCACGGGAACTGTTCAAGTGATTTGACACATTTGATTCCACCAAGATTGTACATATCAGAAATACGCGACGGACTGTGGCTGCTCAACGTTCTGAAGTTCAACTCAGTACACCTGGAACTTCACTGTTTAAGAACTCTTCCATTTGGAGAACTACGTTTATGTGTAATAAACTTCCTGAGAATATTTTTCCAAATGGATTTAATCTTCAGCGATTCAAATCCAATGTGAATCATTACTTTTGCACATGCGCCGCTGTCAGAGCGCCTTAAGGATTTTGCAGTAGAACTCTTCATGATATCACTTTATTTATTTATTTATTTACGGGTGAACCCCAATATTTATTTACAATAAATTGTGTAACAATAAAAGCTTATACTATACTA